AGCGGGCGTTCGACACTTCACGTGGCCTTAAGGTGCACTTGGCCTGGCACAAGCGTCGTGGTGACGTCACCGCCACTTAGTGGCGAATGGCAGTTGTTGTTGTTGTTGTGAGTCCGTTTGTGTGCACTACGAGGTGCAGGTGTATGATTAAACGCACCGTGTAATTTCTGCTCAAGTTTACTGCTGTCCACCACGAGTGTTGAGTAGAGTCGTTTATTTTTAAGCAGGGGCGGTTTCTTCATTAGGGCAATTGGGCGATGCACCACCAAAGTGTGAAAGGGACTTTTTCAATCACATTCAAAATCTCATTCAACCAGAGTTACGCGAGCCGTTACTGTGCCTCTAGATATAGTCCAATCAGCGTCATGTCACGTTCTGTGGAGTACCGCCTCTTTTTGGGCGATTTCACTCTGGCTGAGAATCGCCCCGAGTGGCCCCATAGACTTACATTCAAAGATGTTTTTTTTCGAACGGCGGGCGCTGCAATGCATTCTCTATGGCTTCCGGGAGGGCTCGCACTAACGTGCTTACGTCATCATACGTAAGCACGTATCAGTCAACAATATTATTTGTCGCCACCTAGTGGAATCTTTAATAAAAGAAACTGAGTGGATTGTAATAATAGTGAGTATAGAAACAAACAAGATGTATTGTAAGAGTCACTTTATTTTTCATTAATATTAAAGAAGTGAAGTTGCCTTTACATGCTTAAGCTGTTAATTTATCCATTGCATGGGTGGACCTTATCCTTATCAATCATCCAGACATTTGCCCCCCCTGAGAGATTTTGCAGGAGCCGCCACTGATTTTAAGTGATTTAATGGCACGCTGTGGATACGTGATCTTCACGCATCTCGCCTCCTCCGGCTTCCTTTCAGCCACAATGACACATCTCTAAGAGCTGTTGACGCATCGTAAACATTCAATTGGACGTGATTAGGCACCGCCAGCGAGACGAGACGCTCCTGCCAGCGAGTGATGCGCGTGCCACGGCAGCTACCCGCTTAACAGCACTTGCCCTAACAGTCTGTGAAGGCTATACGGGGAGGGGGGGGGGGTCTTTGTCTTTGTCTTCGTGGGAGGATGATCTGCGAATGTGCGCTGCGCTACGAACCCGGCGACCCGAGTTCCCTTTCCCGCTCACGGCCAACACCGCTGACGAAGATTCTGAACCGGCAAAAGTGTTCACTTCCAACGTTCCATCGGTGGTGCGGGATAGCGTGTTGCCCCCTCGCGCGCGCGGGTTTTCCTCAGCGGGGGCTCCGGTTTCGTGGATTTGTGCCGATGACGGCGCAATATGTAGAGGACCGCAGAACTGGGGCAATCGTTGGTAGGCGCCGGATCTTCACGACCGCGTGGCTGAGCTGCTGATGATGGCTTCCCCGCTCCTCGTCTGCGGTTCCTCCTCTGAGCAGTGTCGGATTATCCTCGTAGCACGAGTACCTACATCTCCACGTCTATATTAAAGTAAAAGCTGTGATTGTGTGTGTCTGTTCAAAATGTTTAGCTACTTCCCGACATGCAACAAACTTGAAATGTGCCATGTGGGTACTTTCCAGACTGTACACCATGCACAGATTATAAAAATACACTTTTGTGTTTTTTTGGTGGGTGGGTGGGGGAGCTCAATAATGCGGAGATTGTTTGCACGGCAAGTGAGCTGTGACGTCACATTTGTCACGTGACCCGCGCATCGTAGTGGAGTGGGTAGCGCGCTGCGCTACGAACCCGGCGACCCGAGTTCGATTCCCGCTCACGGCCACCACCACCACCAGGAACCGGTCCTGGGCCTCCCCTAGGTCGACTCAGCCTCAAACGAGTAGCTGTTATGGTGTGAACATCGCCACTGGGGAGACAAAGGCGGCCGGGTGTGGTGATTCCAAGTCCCGGGAGAAGCCGGGAAGTACAGCTAGTATGTATAATGTGTGATTGAATGGAATACATATGTAGTAGCTACTTGTGCTACGAAGATAGCACAAGTAGCTACATTTCGATTTAAAGCTTTCGTGACTGCAGGGATTCGTCTTCTTGGTTCTTTCGGTAAAGTCACGTAGAAGGGAAGTAATAAAATAATAAAAAGAAAGCATAATAAAATAATATAATAATTATGTAATTATGTTTTATTTTTATTATTGTATTACTTCCCTTCTACGTGACTTTACCGAAAGAACCAAGAAGATGAGGTCTCTTGTGTAGGCTTCAGATATGTGCAGCCTCAGGGGTAAGAGAGGGCGGGCTAGAGATGATCTGCCTGAGGCTGTGGAAGTGGCTGTTGTACTGTGAGAGATTAGCATGTCAATTCGCAGGCTTAGTATACCACCGCATCGTGACTTGCCTAGCATGAGAGTGCAATTTAACGGGCATGTGAGCATGAGGGTGCAATCCAAAGGACATGTCAACATGAGAGTTAAATCTAAAGGACATGTGAGCGTGTGAGTGCAATCTAAGAGGTACAGAGAGAGACAGAGAGACACACAGAGAGTCAAAAATAACAGCTGACATAAGCAGGTAGGGTGGAAACATCACAGTCAGTTAAGATTTCGATTTAAAGCTTTCGTGACTGCAGGGATTCATCTTCTTGGTTATTTCGGTAAAGTCACGTAGAAGGGAAGTAATAAAATAATAAAAATAAAACATAATAAAATCATTCTCACGACGTTTCGGCCACAACGCAAGCAGCCGTCCTCAGGTGAAGAATGAAACACCACCAAGCTTGGAGCGTATATTTAAGCTGGGTTGGAGGGGGGAGGTGGGAAGAAGAGCGCCTGGACAAAATAATCTGCATATCAAGACAAAATAATTTGCATATGCTAAATTCCTCTTGATATGCAAATTATTTGTCAAGGCGCTCTTCTTCCCACCTCCCCCTCCCCTCCAACCCAGCTTAAATATACGCTCCAAGCTTGGTGGTGTTTCATTCTTCACCTGAGGACGGCTGCTTGCATTGTGGCCGAAACGTCGTGAGAATTATTTTATTATGTTTTATTTTTATTATTTTATTACTTCCCTTCTACGTGACTTTACCGAAAGAACCTAGAAGATGAGTCAGTTCAGACTTTTCCTGATTTTTCCAAGACGGAGTTACTCTGCAAACCCACCGGCTACCTTCAGAGATTTGTTCATGAAACCATCTATATATATAAAATCGTGCATGTCTGTCTGTCTGTGTGTGTGTGTGTGGATTTCGGACCATACGCACTTTCATTGGACGGCGGTTGCCCCTGGCAACGGCTAGCGACGCCTTCGCCGCTTTCATTGGACCTGGCAACGGCTAGCGACGCCTTCGCCAAGGGCTGCAGTTTCATTGGACGGCGGTTGCCCCTGCCAACGGCTAGCCACGCCTTCGCCACTTTCATAGGCTCCGTAAATAATTAAATAATAGCCATTACACAGTATTGTTCGAGCGCTGAGGTGGGGGGGAAGGCACGCCACCCGTACCCTGCCTCTGCCGGCTGGACAATTTTGGCGAGGCCGCAGGCTCTGCACGCTACTAGGCCTCGACACCCACCACGCCACTCAGAGGTAAATTCATCAAAGTTTTTCCAACTCTTCACTCCACCCCCACCACAATGTGTGCAATTTATATTACTTTTAAACCCAACGCGCCAACAATCGATTACTTAAATGTTCACTGTACAAATAGTCATTAAGCTGGGTCAGCGTACTGCCAGTCTATCATGTAGACTGTAGCCTGCTTATTAAACTCGGTGAGCGTACTGCCACTCTATCATGTACACTCTAGCCTGCTTATGAAGCTGAGTGCGTGTACTGCCAGTATATAATGTGGACTGTAGCCTGGTTATTATAATCGATTCTTTATATGTTCTTTGTACAAATAGTCATTAAGCTGGTTGAGCGACGCCAGTTCCATTCCAACTCACGCCCACCACCGCTGACGATTATTTGAAACGGACCTGGGCCTCCCCTAGGTCGACTCAGCCTCAAACGCGTAACTGCTGTCGTGTGTGAACATCGTCACTGGGGAGACAAAGGCGGCCGGCCATCGTGGATCCAAGTCCCGGGCGAAGCCGGGTCATGTGTATGTGTGTATGTGTTTATGTGTATGTCTGTGTGTCTCTATGTATGTGTGTATGTATGTGTGTGTATGTGTTTGTGTGTATGTGTGTGTGTATGTATGTCGGTTTTTTTGTATGTCTTTATGTGTATGTCTGCGTGTCTGTATGTATGTGTGTATGTACGTGTGTGCATGTGTTTGTGTGCATGTATGTGTGTGTGTATGTATGTGTGTGTATGTGTTTCTGTGTATGTATGCGTGTGTATGTATGTGTGTTATGTGTGTGTCTGTGTGTCTGCATGTATGTGTGTGTGTATTGTGTATGTGTTTGTGTGTATGTATGTGTGTGTTTGTGTGTATGTGTTTGTTTCTGTGTATGTATGTGTGTATGTATGTGTGTATGTGTTTGTGTGTATGTCTGTGTGTGTATGTATGTGGGTTTTTTTTGTATGTGTTTATGTCTATGTCTGTGTGTCTGTATGTATGTGTGTATGTACGTGTGTGTATGTGTTTGTGTGTATGTATGTGTGTGTATGTATGTGTGTGTATGTGTTTCTGTGTATGTATGTGTGTGTATGTATGTGTGTTATGTGTGTCTCTGTGTGTCTGCATGTATGTCTGTGTGTATTGTGTATGTGTTTGTGTGTATGTATGTGTGTGTTTGTGTGTATGTGTATGTCTGTGTGTATGTGTTTGTGTGTATGTGTGTGTATGTATGTGTGTGTATGTGTTTGTGTGTTTACGCTCGCATTACACAAATGTGTTGCAGGTCTAAGGCGTTCCTCGCGCAGCATTGCCGCTTTATTATTTCAGTTGTTTACTGGCGTACGCACCCTGAAAGTCGTGTGTGTCTGCAGCAAGCGCGTGTATGTGTACCTATGGACGCGCGCGCGTGTGTTGTGTAGGGGGAACGGTAGTGTAGTGCTTAACGTGCTGTCTGTGTCTGTGTGTGTGTCTGTGTGTGTGTGTCTGTGTGTGTGTCTGTGTGTGGTGTGTGGGGAGCGGTAGTGTAGTGCTTAGCGTGCTGTCTGTGTGTGTGTGTCTGTCTGTGTCTGTCTGTGTGTGTCTGCGTGTGTCTGTGTTTGTGTCTGTGTGTGTGTCTGTGCGTGTGTGGTGTGTGAGGAGCGGTGGGTGTAGTGCTTAACGCTACGCTGCGCTACCAACCCGGCGAACCGAGTTCGATTCCCGCTCACGGCCACCACCGGTGACGATTATTTGAACCTCCCCTAGGTCGACTCAGCCTCAAACGAGTAACTGGTGTGGCGTATTAACATCGGCACTGGGGAGACAAAGGCGGCCGGGCGTGGTGGATCCAAGTCCCGGGCGAAGCCGGGTCATGTGTATGTGTGTATATGTTTGTGTATGTCTGTGTGTCTGTATGCATGTGTGTATGTATGTGTGTGTATGTGTTTGTGTGTATGTATGTGTGTGTGTATGTATGTGGGTTTTTTTGTATGTGTTTATGTGTATGTCTGCGTATCTGTATGTATGTGTGTATGTACGTCTGTGGATGTGTTTGTGTGTATGTATGTGTGTGTCTATGTATTGTGTGTATGTGTTTCTGTGTATGTATCTGTGTGTATGTATGTGTGTTATGTGTCTGTCTGTGTGTCTGCATGTATGTGTGTGTGTATTGTCTATGTTTTTGTGTGTATGTATGTGTGTGTTTGTGTGTATGTGTGTGTATGTGTGTGTATGTGTTTGTGTGTATGTGTGTATGTGTGTGTGTGTATGTGTGTGTATGTGTTTGTATGTGTTTGTGTGTTTACGCTCGCATTACACAAATGTGTTGCAGGTCTAAGGCGTTCCTCGCGCAGCATTGCCGCTTTCTTTTTTCAGTCGTTTACTGCCGTACGCACCCTGACAGTCGTGTGTGTCTGCAGCAAGCGCGTGTATGTGTACCTATGGACGCGCGCGCGTGTGTTGTGTAGGGGGAACGGTAGTGTTTAGCGTGCTGTCTGTGTGTGTGTGTCTGTGTGTGTGTGTCTGTGTGTGTGCGTGTGTGTGTGCGTGTGTGGTGTGTGGGGAGCGGTAGTGTAGTGGTTAGCGTGCTGTCTGTGTGTCTGTGTGTGTGTCTGTCTGTGTGTGTCTGCGTGTGTCTGTGTGTGTGTCTGTGTGTGTGTCTGTGCGTGTGTGGTGTGTGAGGAGCGGTGGGTGTAGTGGTTAACGCTACGCTGCGCTACAAACCCGGCGAACCGAGTTCCATTCCCGCTCACGGCCACCACCGGTGACGATTATTTGAACCTCCCCTAGGTCGACTCAGCCTCAAACGAGTAACTGGTGTGGCGTATTAACATCGCCACTGGGGAGACAAAGGCGGCCGTGCGTGAGTGGTGAGGGAGGGAGAGTGGTGAGGGAGGGAGAGTGGTGAGGGAGGGATAGTGGTGAGGGAGGGAGAGTGGTGAGGGAGGGAGAGTGGTGAGGGAGGGAGAGTGGTGAGGGAGGGAGAGTGGTGAGGGAGGGAGAGTGGTGAGGGAGGGATAGTGGTGAGGGAGGGAGAGTGGTGAGGGAGGGAGAGTGGTGAGGGAGGGAGAGTGGTGACGGAGGGAGAGTGGTGAAGGAGGGAGAGTGGTGAGGGAGGGACAGTGGTGAGGGAGGGAGAGTGGTGAGGGAGGGACTCAGCCGCAAAACGAGTAACTGGTGTGGCGTATTAACATCGCCACTGGGGAGACAAAGGCGGCCGGCCGTCGTGGATACAAGTCCCGGGCGAAGCCGGGTAGTACAGCTAGTCCAGATATATAAACACAGACACAACTTCAACAACCGAGATGATGGGTACAAACTGAGCACTCATTGGAAGGACGTCATTAACCAGGTACAGTCTTAACTGACTGTGATGTGATGATTGTTTTTTTTATCCTTCTATCTGGCAACAAAACTGACACCTTTTTTTACGAGGAGTCATGTTTGCATAGACCACAATACCTGCGGTCATAATGCAAACAAAAAACATAACTCTGATCATGTATGCACTGTCCTTGAAGTTGATTGGTCCACACCCGAGACAGCTTTCCTTAGAGCCTAGTCTCACATGGTGTTGGACCAGATGACGCCAAAAGGCGCACAACTCAAAGACAATGCACCATCAGAGTATGAGAGCTCGGGGTAAGCATTTACACCATTGGAAGCTCATTTGCTAGTAAGAAATATGATAATTGTTTTTTACCCTTCTATCTGGCAACAAAACTGACACCTTTTTTTACAAGGAGTCATGTTTGCATAGACCACAATACCTGCAGTCGTAATGCAAACAAAAAACATAACTCTGATAATGTATGCACTGTCCTTGAAGTTTATTGGTCCACACCTAAGACAGGTTTCCTTAGAGCCTAGTCTCACATGGGTTGGACCAGATGACGCCAAAAGGCGCACAACTCAAAGACAATGCACCATCAGAGTATGAGAACTCGGGGTAAGCATTTACACCAAAAAGGTGTCAGTTTTGTTGCCAGATAGAAGGGTAAAAAAACAATTATCATATTTTTTACTGGCAAATGAGGTACCAATGGTGACTGTGATGTTTCAATCCTACCAGCCGGATGCCCTTTCCTGGGGGTGCGAGGCAAGGCCAGGTCTTCTTTTTTTAAAATCCTTTATATTAAGTTCACTTGCTTACGACCGTGCAAATCTTTCGGTCGTTTTTTAACCCACTTCCCGTGATCCAATCGAGCTGACATTTTGCACACAGACTCGTTGTGCGTGACAATTAATTTTCGTGAAATTTTTTTTCCAAAATTTTACACTTATAGGATTTTTTAAAAATATTTAATTACCAATTGCGTAATGGTGGCAGGCATTCATCTGACCCATAGGTGGCAGCCATCTCAAGCCAGAGGACGAGAGGACTCTAGCAGCCACGCATATAAAGGATTTATAGTGAAAAACTTTGTTTTTACGGGTTAATTTTTTAGAAGGTAAATTCATCGAAAACACAAGTTGAGTACAGGTGCCCAGCGTACGCTACAACTCTGTTTCATCAAACCCTGTGTAGTCGTTGACATTTTTTGTTTCATCTTCTAGGTTCTTTCGGTAAAGTCGCGTAGAATGGAAATAATACAATAATAAAAATGAAACTTTAAAATAATTCTCACGACGTTTCGGCCACAACGCAAGCTCAGACTCTGTCTACTCGACAGACCTGCTCTCCACCTGAGGATGGCTGCTTGCGTTGTGGCCGAAACGTCGTGAGAATTGTATTTTATTATGTTTTATTTGTATTATTTTATTATTTCCATTCTACGTGACTTTACCGAAATAACCAAGAAGATGAATCCCTGCAGTCACGAAAGAAGCTTTAAATCGAAATGTAACGTCGCATTATAAAATAATTTTTTAATTTTATTATTTCCCTTCTACGTGACTTTACCGAAATAACCAAGAAGATGAATCCCTGCAGTCACGAAAGCTTTAAATCAAAATTTTTTGTTTCGTCCGCTCCAGAACCAAAGGGCGGCGGGTGCAAGGCTACCGGTTCAAGTGAGGGACCGCTGCCCCGACACGGATCAATTTCGACTGACCGACCGCACGAATCGCTTGTGCAGGTGGCCCATGGGCCCCCCCGCGGGCCAACGACGCGGCGGCCCCCGCAAGGAGGCCTCCGACTGGCCCACGTCGGCCACCCTCGGGGCCGCGCTGGCCCTCCTCTTCGTTGCCGTCAGCGTCCACCTTGTCCGCATGGGCTCCACCCCGACCCCGCGCTCGCTCCGTGACGAAGGCGGCGGCGATGGCCACCCCCGGGCGCCCCCCCTCCTCCTCCTCTCGCGGCGCTGGCTGATGCTGCGAGCGGAGTTCCCCACGCAGCCCCGCGCCGAGATGGCGCGTCTGCAGCGAGCCGTCACCCGCCGCCGCGACGAACGGCGTTGACGGCGGCCCGCCGACGGGCGTCATTCTCGCGGCTAACCCCGGCTCGGCGAGGACCCTCGGCTGCTTCTGCCGGGCCCTGCGGCGGCTCGTGGAGGCCTCCGGCACCCCGGCGCTGCTCCGCGCCGAGGGGACTCCCTCGCCGCCAGAGCCGCGACTCGTGACGCAGCTGCTGGCGCTGATGTCCGCGGCCAGCGGCGGCGGCGGTGGCGCGGACCGGGCACGGCTCGCCCGCGTCTGGGAGGCTCTGGGGCCGGGCGGCCGCGGCGCGCTGCTCATCGTGGGCTTCACGGCGGCCACGGCGGAGACGGGGAACTCGGGGAACGAGACGCGGGACGCCGAAATCCCCTCCTCCTCCTCCTACCCCCTGCTGGAGATGTTCACCCTGAGGGCAGAGGCGTACATCGAAGAGGGCGGCTTCGTCTGCTGAAGTTGCCACCACTACCACCACCGCCCCTTCCGATTGTGGGGGGGGGGGGGGGGTCGATTCATAATGACCGACGGTTCGGGAGCGGGGCCACCCGGACAGTGGTGGAGTGGCGACACAGCTGCCCCCGGCTGTTGGGACCACTCCGAGTTCAGGGGCGATGGGACATCGGTTTCCTGGGTCCCAGGATGAGAGTTCACTGTTGATTTGTGTTTGTTTGTTTGTTGTTGTTATTGTTGTTATTATTGTTGTTGTTATTATTGTTGTTATTGTTGTTGTTGTTAAACACAGAGGCGTCACTGTGGACTGAGGACAGTGGCAACACGTCCAGTGGCCAGTAGCAGAGCAGCACTCGTGTGGACGTTGTCGCGTGTGGGAGCTGTCACGTGTGGGGAAGAGACGACGGTGGTGGTGGTGACAATGGTGATGATGGTGGTGGTGGTGATGGTGGTGATGATGATGGTGGTGGTGACGATGGTGGTGATGGTGGTGGTGATGATGATGGTGGTGGTGATGGTGGTGATGATGATGGTGGTGGTGACGATGATGATGGTGGTGACGGTGGTGTTGGTGATGCTGGTGATGATGGTGGTGACGATGGTGGTGATGATGATGGTGACGATGGTGGTGGTGGTGGTGATGGTGGTGGTGGTGATGATGATGATGACAGGAGGAGGGAATTCCACTGTGGAGCGACGGTGCAAGGGAAGCAGCAGAGAGAGAGAGAGAAGTGAGGTTGACCTGCAGTGTGAGCGAGTGACTATATGAGTGAGTGAGTGGGTGAGCGGGTGAGTGGGTAAGTGGGTGAGTGGGTCACTAGGTGAGTGGGTGACTGGGTGAGCGGGTGAGCGAGTTTACGAGTGACTGGGTGAGTGGGTCACTAGGTGAGTGGGTGACTGGGTGAGCGAGTTTGCGAGTGACTGGGTGAGTGGGTCACTAGGTGAGTGGGTGACTGGGTGAGCGAGTTTGCGAGTGACTGGGTGAGTGGGTCACTAGGTGAGTGGGTGACTGGGTGGGCGAGTTTGCGAGTAACTGGGTGAGCAGGTGAGTGGGTGAGTGGGTCACTAGGTGAGTGGGTGACTGGGTGAGCGGATGACTGGGTGGGCGAGTTTGCGAGTGACTGGGTGAGTGGGTCACTAGGTGAGTGGGTGACTGGGTGAGCGAGTTTGCGAGTGACTGGGTGAGCGGGTGAGTGGGTAAGTGGGTAACTTGGTGAGTGGGTGAGTGGGTGAGGGAGTTTGCGAGTGACTGGTTGAGCGGGTCACTAGGTGAGTGGGTGAGCGGGTGAGCGGGTGGGCGAATTTGCGAGTGACTGGGTGAGCGGGTCACTAGGTGAGTGGGTGAGTGGGTGAGCGAGTTTGCGAGTGACTGGGTGAGTGGGTCACTAGGTGAGTGGGTGACTGGGTGAGCGAGTTTGCGAGTGACTGGGTGAGTGGGTCACTAGGTGAGTGGGTGACTGGGTGGGCGAGTTTGCGAGTAACTGGGTGAGCAGGTGAGTGGGTGAGTGGGTCACTAGGTGAGTGGGTGACTGGGTGAGCGGGTGACTGGGTGGGCGAGTTTGCGAGTGACTGGGTGAGTGGGTCACTAGGTGAGTGGGTGACTGGGTGAGCGAGTTTGCGAGTGACTGGGTGAGCGGGTGAGTGGGTAAGTGGGTGACTTGGTGAGTGGGTGAGTGGGTGAGCGAGTTTGCGAGTGACTGGTTGAGCGGGTCACTAGGTGAGTGGGTGAGCGGGTGAGCGGGTGGGCGAATTTGCGAGTGACTGGGTGAGCGGGTCACTAGGTGAGTGGGTGAGTGGGTGAGCGAGTTTGCGAGTGACTGGGTGAGTGGGTCACTAGGTGAGTGGGTGACTGGGTGAGCGAGTTTGCGAGTGACTGGGTGAGTGGGTCACTAGGTGAGTGGGTGACTGGGTGGGCGAGTTTGCAAGTAACTGGGTGAGCAGGTGAGTGGGTGAGTGGGTCACTAGGTGAGTGGGTGACTGGGTGAGCGGGTGACTGGGTGGGCGAGTTTGCGAGTGACTGGGTGAGTGGGTCACTAGGTGAGTGGGTGACTGGGTGAGCGAGTTTGCGAGTGACTGGGTGAGCGGGTGAGTGGGTGAGTGGGTGACTTGGTGAGTGGGTGAGTGGGTGAGCGGGTGGGCGAGTTTGCGAGTGACTGGGTGAGCGGGTCACTAGGTGAGTGGGTGAGTGGGTGAGCGGGTGAGCGGGTGGGCGAGTTTGCGAGTGACTGGGTGAGCGGGTCACTAGGTGAGTGGGTGAGTGGGTGGGCGAGTTTGCGAGTGACTGGGTGAGCGGGTCACTAGGTGAGTGGGTGAGTGGGTGAGCGGGTGAGTGCGTGAACGAGTTTGCGAGTGACTGGGTGAGCGGGTCACTAGGTGAGTGGGTGACTGGGTGAGCGGGTGAACGAGTTTGCGAGTGGCTGGCTTGAACCGGTCAATACCGGATCAGCCGTCACCTCAGGGGACTCACTCGGCAGGTTTTTGTCTGGTCGCCGTCTCTCGTCGCTTCGAGACTATTTTATTATTGTTGTTGTTGTTGTTATTGCTGCTGCTGTTGTTGTTGTTGTTTACCAAAGTCAAAGCGCCGCGAGCTCGTTTTTTTTTAGAGGGGTGAGCTGGCCGCGCGAGATGAGCATGGGTGGAAAAAACCCGATTTTTCCAGCGGCAGGCATCGGGTTTTTTCTTTAATACAATTAAACCCGATTTGGGGGAGTTAAAACGTGGTTTCATGAATACGAAACTCTGATCCAAGGCTTCGGCTGCTTCCTCGTGGGTGCTGCTATCGTACACGGGGGGGGGGGGGGGGGGCGTCGGGCACGGGGTAGTCGTAGAATGCGGCGGGCAGGTTGGTCTTGATGAACACGAGGAGCTTCTCTTCCACACTCGTGGGCGCCGCCAGTGAGTTCCTGAGCTTGGAATGGACGAAGCCCATCGTAGAGAAGTTGGCGAAGTACGGTTCTGCAATTAGAACCATTGACACCGGATTTCTCCCAATCTCAGATGATCGGGTTTAATATAAAAATACAATTAAACCCGATTGTAAAAAACACGACTGTGCCACCCTTGGTGATGAGAGCTCAAAGTTGGCTGATGTCATCGTCACCGCTATCATCATCATCATCACGTGGTGGGGATTCATCGTCACCGCCATCATCATCATCATCACGTGATGGGGATTCATCGTCACCGCCATCATCATCACCATCATCACGTGGTGGGGATTCATCGTCACCGCCATCATCATCATCATCACGTGGTGGGGATTCATCGTCACCGCCATCATCATCACCATCATCACGTGGTGGAGATTCATCGTCACCGCCATCATCATCACCATCATCACGTGGTGGAGATTCATCGTCACCGCCATCATCATCATCACGTGGTCATCTGAACGGCGCGTCGAGTGATTCTCACTGTGGCGGGAGAGGCGAAAACCGCAGCAAGGGGGATGGGGGATAGGGGGTTGGAGTCGTCATTGAATTGACCATTTGCCTCAGCAAGTATCTTCAATGTCTCAGCAGCTGCTGCTGCTGCCCCTTCGATGTCCGGCCTCGAGTGGGCAGAGCAGTCATTGCGCCTCTGGGAAATCTGAATAGGCCGTAGTGTCCCCTTTTGGGGGGCAATAACAAAAACAAGAGGAGTTGCGTTTGAGGTGTTCAAACAAACTCACAATGGACCGCCTTTAATAGCAAAGGCAATCGCCATCAAGGCCGCATTGACACACATTTCCTGTGGCAACAACAACAACAACAAACCACGTGGTTATGATAATACAGGGTGCTTCAAAACAAAGTGTTGACACTTATGTGGAAAAATTAAGGGAAAATAATAATAATAACACTGTAACGCGACGACAAACTTTAATGTTAATAAGCTTCAAAAATTTCGATGTAAAGCTTTCGTGACTGCAGGGATTCATCTTCTTGGTTCTTTCGGTAAAGTCACGTAGAATGGAAATAATAAAATAATAAAAATAAAACATAATAAAATACAATTCTCACGACGTTTCGGCCACAACGCAAGCAGCCGTCCTCAGGTGAAGAACAGGTCTGTCGAGAAGTGACTTTACCGTACCCTACCCGTACCCGGCCGGGTATCGGGTACCCGATTGCGACCTCTGGG